CCAAAAAAAAAAAAAAAAAAAAAATGCATGAATTAAATGAGCCAAAAGTAACATTTTTCTTTTTCTTTTTTTTTAATAAATGTATTTATTTATTTATGGCTGCATTGGGTCTTCGCTGCTGTGCGCGGGCTTTCTCTAGTTGTGGCGAGCGGGGGCTACTCTTTGTGGAGGTGCGCAGGCTTCTCATTGTGGTGGCTTCTCTTGTTGCAGAGCATGGGCTCTAGGGCACGTGGGCTTCAGTAGTTGTGGCGCATGGGCTTAGTTGCTCTGCAGCATGTGGGATCTTCCTGGACCAGGGCTCGAACCCAGGTCCCCAGCATTACCAGGCAGATTCTTAACCACTGAGCCACCAGGGAAGCCCCAAAAGTAACATTTCTGTTCACCACCACTAACTAAATTCTGGGCACTGTGATAAGTACTTTATATGCATTATCTCATTTAATCCTTATAATAGAGGATTAATCCCATTTTATAGCTGAGACTGAGGTCTGAGAAGTATCAGTAATTTAGCCAAAATGTCACATCTAGTAAGCTGCACACCCAAAATTCAAAACCAGGTACCCCAAATTCCAAAACCCATATTCTCAAAATCTGAGTTTCCAGTTCCCCCCTCCAGACCTTTTACTTAAAATTTCAGCCTTAATGAATCCTATAAGAGATCTGTTGTTGACTGCACACTAACAGGCTACAATTTAGGTATATTTTTTATAAGTAAAGTATTAATTGCAAAAACTGACCATACTGAATTTTTAATTTTTTTTTAATAAATTTATTTGTTTTTTATTTATTTTTATTTTTGGCTGTGTTGGGTCTTTGCTGCTGTGTGCGGGCTTTCTCTAGTTGCAGCGAGTGGGGGCTACTCTTTGCTGTGGTTCGCAGGCTTCTCATTGTGGTGGCTTCTCTTGTTGCGGAGCACAGGCTCTAGGCACGCGGGCTTCAGTAGCTCTGGCGCACAGCCTTAGTTGCTCTGCAGCATGTGAGATCTTCCCCAACCAGGGCTCGAACCCTTGCCCCCTGCATCGGCAGGTGGATTCTTAACCACCGCACCACCAGGGAAGCCCTGAATTTTTAAATTATTAATGAAGGTTTTTTAAAGTCTGAAACACACTGTAATAATTTATAAATAAGAGAACCAACAATCAGAGACAAGGGCATTTTATTTAAAAATCACATGAAATAATACAAAACCAGAAAGAATGAAGCAGTTAGTCTTACCATTATAAAAAGGCCACCATTTTGTTCAACTTCAGCAGTTTCCATCAGAAGTTCAATAGCCTTTTTGTTCCCAATTATCCTCACTACTCGGGCTATCAAATCTTTCTTTGGTTCCTGCAACCTGATGAGGAACAAATGAAGTAATATTAATCTTTTTATTCGTTGCATAAAGTTGAGGAAATCTACCTTAGTCTCCAATTTAGTTCCTAGCTAGAATTAACTTCTCATTCTAATAACATTTGCTTTCCAAAATCCCCAATATTTAACCTTGGAATCACTGACGTGGAAACATTCCTATCTTGGGTCACCCAAGGAGATCATAACCTCTGGGATCCGCCTCAAGTCTCATAACTGGCAACTTCACTTTGCCTTATTGGATTATAGCATATTTCAAAAGAAACATGCACATATAGCAAGGGGAATGCAAGCCCAAAAGCAAAAGAAGATACAACCAGTCTACTCTCATCAAAACAAACAGCAAACATATACCATGCTTCCTAAAAGTTAGCTCTCCTAACTCCAGAGATGTCTAAAAGCTTTAAAATAGATTGGATTTTTCCCTCATGGGCTCCCTGCCTCAGAACAAGGAAATAGCTAATATTTACCAAAGGCTTATTATGGGATAAGCACAATCCTAAGAACTATATATGCATTATATCTCAGTTAATTCTCTCACAACCTTATGAAGCAGATATTATTATTTTCATTTTACCACTGAGAGGTAAAAACACAGGGAGCCTAAGTAGGTAGCACTTCTGACATCAGAGCCCATACTCCATAGAGATGAGGGAACATTAATATTACAGAAGTCTTACCAGTTCCCTAACCAGCCCTGGCTTCTTTTGTTTCTTCTCTGTTGTGGAAAGAGCAGTAGACTAGGAACAAAGGGGCTAGACTTTAGTTCCAGGTCTGACACTTATTAAATTTGTGACTTTGCGCAAGCCACACAACTACTGGGCCTCAGTTTCCTATTTGTAAAGTAAAGGCTTTGGTTTACAAAATCTCTAAGTTCCTTTCCAGCACTCAAATTCCAAACTCCCTCAGTATTTAAAAAAAAATCCAGTATGAGTATTGACAGGCTTGCCTGGAAAGTAAATACTTGTTTTCCTACTAGCTATATTACCCTTGAACCTTACCTGTTTTCAGATTTGTGACACTGTTCACTAGTGATTTAGAGCTAATAAAAAAGTAAACAAAATTTCAACTTTTTATTTATTTATTTATTGACCTCCCTGGGCAGCTTGCAGGATCTTAGTTCGCCGACCAGGGATCAAACCCAGGCCCATGGTAATGAAAGTGCCAAGTCCTAACCACTGTACTGCCAGGGAATTCCCAAAATTTTAACTTTTAGTATTTCTTGTTAAAAATACATGAAATGTAAATTTACCATACATCAAGCAACTCTACTCCTATTTATCCAAAAGAAATGAAAATCTGTGTCCAAAGATGTGTACATGAAAGTTCATAACAGCATTATTCATAATTTCCCAGAAGGGTAACAGCCGATATGGATGTGTGCGTGCATATGCGTGTGCATGTAAATAAACAAACTGTTGATTCCTGCTACAACATGGACGAATCTGAAAAACACTGCAGTAAGTGAAAATAGCCAGGGACAAGAGACTCCATACTGTGATTCCATTAACATGAAATTTCCAAAAATGCAAACTGATAGCAACAGAAGGTAGATTAGCAGTTACGTGGGAATAGGAACAGGAACTAACTTTAAATGGGCACATGGTATGAGGGATATTATAGGGTGATGGAAATGTTTTAAAAGTGCTTTATGGTAATCGTTGTACAATTGATAAACTTACTAAAAAAATCAACACTTGAAATGGATGAATTTTACCACATGTATACCATGCCTCAATAAAATTGTAAAAAAAAAAAAAATCATGAATGCTTGAAAGCACTCCAAAAAACCTACATGATTTATATGTTTTTACCTAAAGAGTTCTATAGCACTAAATGGAAAGAGTTGCTCAAAAGTTCATAAAAATCTGCAAAATTATTCTATCAGGTCTGCCCAAATTTAAGAACACCCAGCTATATTCATATAACCACATAAGCCTAGAGTTCATGCCTTAAATTTAAAAATTTCAAAAAGGAACACCATTGTCAGTGTATTTGGAATCTGTGTTATTTCTCATAAATGGAAGACAATTGGTCAAGTGCTCACTTGTAGACAAATTTAAATGCTCACCTGAAAGAAATTTCATCAGCCACTTTCTCTTGAGAATCGTCCTCTGTGATCTCATATCGGCCTTTATAGTTCATTTCTAGTCTGTCTCCTAGTCTGTCTTTGACAGGTCGTTTCCTTTTGAGATGACCTTGCCCATTTTCCTCCTCCTTTGATCCCGTTTTTTTGCCACCATGCATATATTCATCTAGCTCTTTGTCTAATTCTTTTGTATGCTCTTGGGATTCCCTCTTAAGTTTCTTAGCAAGCAAATAATTGTACGTCTCGGATTGTCTGCTTCTGTCAATAGTGCCCTCCATTCCCAAGATACCAAGTTCAGTGGCCACTGCATCTTGACTCTGTTCCTGCAGCACAGCACCCCATATGTTGTTAACCTTCTTCCCTCCAGCAATAGGCGGTTTCTGGCTGCTCTGGCCAAACTGAAAAGGCTCTTGTTTGGGAGGAGTGTTAAAACATTTTTGTCGTTTGCGCTTCCAGAGAGAGCTATCATCATCTGAATCCGAAAAACTCTCCTCACTTGAATCCACACTTTTAACAGTCCGATAATGCGATACCGGAGCACACACTGTTGCAGTACTCTGGAAGGGCCTCACTGCACAGTCCCCACCTAGTGCTTTCTGCAAGTGAAAGAAAATACAATCAATTCCATAAAACACATTAACTCCACACACCATGTGTATAGCTAATGCAGCACTTAGTTCTAAGACCCCTTTTAAAAAATTCCCAAAGCTTTTAATTCTCACCTTTAGGAGATTTTCAGTCTTTTCAGTTATTGTCAGAATGTTTGAAAATGACATACACGATAATTGTTACTAGCAGTTAAAAGAGAACTTGTTTTCTTCCTTTCCAAAGATGCCTGCCATGCATTTGATTACATCAACTGCCTTTATATGGTTTTGTGACTATGTTCCTTTTAGACTAGACAGTAAATTGCTATGTGTAAGAATCTCCGACAAATTACTTTTAAAACTGCAGAGTCCATGGCATTAAGTTTACCAAGTCATGGGTCAATCTATGTAAAACAAACTGAAAGAGACTGAAAAACAAAATATTTTGGTACCGATTTCCTAAGAAATTTCTATGCAAAAGGAATCACCTTTGCTTTCTCAACTAAACATTAAACAAAGTATTTGTTAAGTTCCTAATATGTGCTAGAAATGGGGGTGGGGTATTTTAAGTCTAGAAGGTAAGTCTTCCTATTTTGAAATAATAATGGCACTAACACTCGTCAGCCATTACTCAGGCTCCACTGAATCCTGACAGCCACCCTATTACTGTCGTACTATTATCATTCCTATTCTAAGATGGGGCACCAGGCTAAATGCCCTGTCAGAGGTCACACAGTGGCGGCGCCAGGATTCGAACGCGGGTAGACTGGCACTAAAGCCTTCTCAAAAGAGCTTGCTACTCAGTAGGGCGGCCAAGACAAACGCCTACTTAGAAACCTGGGAAGCTAAACAAAACCCAGTGCCACATTATGGCATGACGAAGCTAGGTTCCAGGGGAATATGGAAGACCAGGCCTCTGAGCAAGTGATGAACTTCATCCCTGATCCTTTCTCCCTTTCTGCTCAGCGTGCACATGAGCGCCACATGCTGTTTGCGGGCAGAGGTCCCCAGGTTCTACATTTTCGGCAAAAAAAATGCCCTTCCGGGACAACCTAGCGGCGCCGAAGTGGGGAAGCCCATAGGTTTAGAAAACGAGGGAGCGGAGCACTGGAGGCGGGAAAGAGGCAGCCGCAAGCCCGCCTCCGGGAGGCAGCCCGCCTCGCGGAACCCGCTTCGCAGCGAGACGCCGGGCTAGGTTCGTACGGCCTCCTAACCCCGCAACCTCCCTCGCTCCGCGCGCCGGGCAGCGGGACGCCCGCCCGCCCCTTACCCTCCCGCGCCGCACCGGCTCGCGCGCCGGGCCCGGGGACGACCACCCCTCATCGCAGCCCGGGCTCCGCGCTCCCGGCCCAGAGTCACCCGCTCCCCCTCCGCACTCACCGACACCTGCAGCGGCCTGTCGCTGGGTGCCACCGTCATGTCGGAATCCGAGTCAGAAAGCTGCCCATCTTCCATGTCGCCTGCCTCCTGCGCCATCTTCCCGCGGCGCGGTGCAGCGGGCCGAGAGGGCACTTCCGGCGGGGCGGCGGGTTGGTCCGGCTGGTTGTGACTGGTCGGGCGCCCCCGCGAGGGGGCTGCTCCCGCCCCGGCTGCCGGTGGACCCAGACGCCTGGGTCGAGGCTCGCAGATGTTGCGTCATCATTGGAACCCGCTAGCTTAACGCTACTCTGGGAGAATGAGTCCTCTGCTGCTGCAGCACTCTGGCGCCTTCCCTACCGACCTGTTTCCGGCAAACCTAAAGATGCGCATGGATGGCAGCCATGAGGGATTCCTCCCTCGGCCTCACAACCCTCGCCTGGATGCTCTGGGCAGGCCTTCCTGCTTCCATTCGTGCTCCTCTGCGATCCACCGTGCATGTAGCTTCCCGGGGAACCTTCCAGACGGGACCTGAGGTCACGGCCCTGCTCAGACTTTCCAGGGCTTTCCTCCGCACGATAAGGCTTGAGTTTTCAGCACTGCCAGCAGGGCTGCGGGTGTGTGCCTGTCTGGTGTCCCCCTCCGTCTCTCCAGCCACGCTGGCGCTGCTCACGTTGTTCCTCTGGCACCCTTTGTTCTTTCGCGGCCCAAGGGCTTTGCAGTTGCTGTTCCTTCTGCCTGGCAGGCTCTCCAACACCCGCCACCCCATTCTTGCACAGGTTATGCTGTCTCATGATTCAGGATTCTGATTAAATGCCACCTTCTCAGAGAGGTCTTCAACCACCCTCACTAAAACAGGGTCTCTCCTGTCACTCTCAAACCCTTTTTTTTCTCTCATGGCATCAATAGTCATCTGTGTATTTAAAAAATTTTTTGTCTGAGCTCCCCACTAAAATGTCAGTTTTACTCGCTGTTGTTTCTACCTGCGAACATACATGACTTCTTGTATGTAAAGATGGGCAAGAAATATTTGATTTTTTTTTTTTTTTTTTGCGTAAAGGGGATCTTGTTATTTGTACCTTTTCCTATTCTGCTATCTACTTTAAAAAAGAAACAATATTGGGGTCCAGTGGTTGGGACTCCGCGCTTCCACTGCTGGAGGCTGGGTTCGATCCCTGGTCTGGAGGTAAAATCCTGCAAGCCGCGAGGCGCGGCCAAAAAAAACAATATAGCAGTTTATCTGGACACCTTTCTATACCAGAATATAAAGATCTAGCTCCTTCTTTTTAATGACTCCCTAGTTTTCCATTGCATGAAGGTAGCCTCATTTTTTAGTCTCTGATGGTGTGTTTTGCAATGAACATGTCTTTTTACAAACTTGTTTTATTATTTCCTTAGGATATGTCTCTAGACTGTATGGGAAAAAATGAATTTAGATTTTTGAAATGTGAATTTAATACCTATAAAGGAATTTAGAAGTCACCTGGTCCAGTTTATTTTGACAACTGAAGAGAGTTTACACAGCTAAGCTACTGAAGACCTGCGTCTTGATTCCAGGTCTCCTAATTCTTTGACAACTTTATTATTTTACCTTTTCTGCATAGAATTACAATCCCCCTACAACTGATTTTTGTGCATGGTGTGAGGTAGGAGTACTTTTTCTTGTTATTATTAACATTTTACTATGTGGTATGGGAGGCAGCTAAATACCGTAGAATACATAGAATAGCCCCTCACACTAAAGACTTTCTCCAGTGTTTTCCACCAGAAGAGTTTTAGTTCTTACCTTTAGGCCTGTGGTCCATTTTGACTTAATTCTTATATCTAGCGTGAAGTAAAAGTCAAGGTTCCTTTTTTTTGTGTGTGCCTGAATATCCAAATAATATAGCACTATTTGTTGAAAAGACTATTCTTTCTCCCTTGAATTTCTTTGACACCTTCATTGAAAATCGACTATATATATGAAGGTTTATTTTTGAGTACCCTATTCTGTTCCATTGATCTTTATGTCTATCTTTACACCAATGTGACATTTTCTTGATTACTGTAGCTTTATAACAATTGTAAAATTGTTATAATTATTGTTAAAATTAGGTAATGTAAATTTGTTCTTTTTTTTTTCCAGAACTGTTTTGGCCATTCTAGATCCTTTGCCCTTCCATTTAAACTTTAGACTCTGCTTGCCAATTCTGGTATTTTGGTTGGGATTGCATTGAATCTACAGTTTAATGTGGACATTGGGGAGACTATCTTAGCCTGATGCCATTGAATGCAGGAATCATATACTGCTAATCAATAACTCTTCTTCTAAATTCTGGGTTCCTAAACCGCTAGATAGGTAGTATATACCCTGGGAGAGAATGCAGTGATTAGAGGATGTGAATGGTTGGTCCTTTCTGAGAATAATTTCCCCATCAAGTAATAAGCCAGCATTTTAGTTGCAGCATCATTTTTTGGTTAGCTTGATTAATATGAGCCCGCCCAGAGCAATAGTTAGTGTCATTCACTCATGCTCTGTTAAATCAGATTCTGGGTTTACAATAATGAAATTTTATCCTTCGTGATTTCTCCACTTTACTGCTGCCTTGGGGCAAGCATGCATTATCAGATCCAATCCCTCCACCTTCTGGCCAGCTATTGTTGAAGAACAAAGACAGCTAGTATTCATGAAGACTTCCCAAGACAGGTCATTTGTACTTATGCTGTGACTCCAAAGTCTTTGTTATAACCACCCTATGATGCCTTTGGTAAGTCATTTGAGAAGCAGAACTGGCCATTTGCTAACGTCTCCACTTTTCATAGAGAATTGGTTCAAGGTGTCCTGAGTTTAGTCAGTACATTTAAATTTCTATAGGGCTTTGCAGCTTTGCAGTTTTTACATATACTTAATTCTTTTTCAAGTGGGAAATATGCTTTCATATGATTCATTTAATTCTATCTCTTCGTGCTTTGCCCCATCAAAATTCATCGTTGGTGATTTTTCCTGACCTCCTATTGGCAGGCTAAGTGAGTTTTGAAAAAAGAAGGTAGAAGAGAGATGCAATCCCTATTTTCCATATAGGCAGTTGCTGGTGTCTATCATCCCAGAACTGGTTTAGAGAGACAGCCATGAACCTCTCTTCTTAGTGAAGAGAAGGAAGTTAACATTCCTTGAGAGCATTATGTGTTGCTTCTAAAATTTAGTGCATCTGTAAATGCCTTTTCATTTTTTGAATCAAATGGAGGGGAAGAGAATGGAAGGATGTGGTGTTAGGATACGTGTACAAAGAATCTTACTGGCAGCCCAGAAAGTGAGGAGAATTAAATTCTCCATTAAAATGTTTGGGAATTAAAATGAAGGAAATTAGTTCTTCAGTCCTAGGGGTGGATGGAAAACAGTAGCTGGGTTGTTGATAGAGGTTACCAATGCTGGACAGGGTATCCTTGCTTTCTACCGCAGAGGTGTGTTTATAGTTTTATTTTTTCGCTGATGTAAATGTATGTGAGCCTGGTAGGATGCTGGGAATTGTGGAGCCATGCAAGGATGAGTCAGAGATGGTGCTTGCCTTAATGGGGAAAAATATAACATTTTCAAGTGGAAGCATCATTCAGGTATCTCCAGCACTTAACTACAGTTTCTGATAGGTGCTTGATACATGCCCATTTCAACATGGTTTGTTGAAATCATTTGTGTCATAAGGATGGAACAGATAAAGCTCAAGCATGAATGCAGAGATGGAAGGAAGGGTTTTACAGGTAGAGAGAACAGCAAGGGCAAAGACACTGAGAGGAAAACACAGGCTTTGTATAGAAACATACAATGACTGGTTGCAGTGTGGAAGGCCACAAGGCAAGTCCACTTGGAATCACTGAGACACCTTATTAATTCAATTGATTTGAGAGTGTGTGTATATTTTTAACTCATGCCCAAATCATGCTGACTGAGATGGTGCTATTTCCCTTATATTGAGTAAGCCCAGTTATTGTGGAATTAGATGGAAGATGGGATGGTGGAGGGATGGGGTTGGGGTGGAAAGAATATTGCAGGAAGAGGTGGGATGAATTGCGAGATTGGGATTGACATATATACACTAACATGTATAAAATGGAGAGCTAATAAGAACCTGCTGTTAAAAAAAAAAAAGTAACCCCCCCCCAAAAAAAATTGCAGGAAGATAGAAGAAATGGAGAATAAAGGAAATTGATCAAAACTGTCTTTGTTCTTCAAAAGCAAGAATATACCCAGGCAGGATATTTAAAGGGAAATGCCACAATTTAATATTTTTCATTCTTTAGAAAACTCTAATTTATAATTTAACAAAGTGGCGAAAACAAAAAATCCTGTCTCCTCCACCAAAAACCCTCCTCCTTTGGCTACTCCAGGAAACAGCAGTCACCATCACTTTGGGAACTGGTTAGAAATACCGACTCTCAAATTACCTCAACATAATAAAGGCCATATATGACAAACCCACAAACAACATCATTCTCAATGGTGAAAAACTGAAACCATTTCCACTAAGATCAGGAACAAGAAAAAGTTGCCCACTCTCACCACTACTATTCAACATACTTCTGGAAGTTTTAGCCACGGCAATCAGAGAAGAAAAAGAAATGAATCCAAATCAGAAAAGAAGAAGTAAAGCTGTCACTGTTTGCAGATGACATGATACTATACATAGAGAATCCTAAAGATGCTACCAGAAAACTACTAGAGCTAATCAATGAATTTGGTAAAGTAGCAGGATACAAAATTAATGCACAGAAATCTCTTGCATTCCTATACACTAATGATGAAAAATCTGAAAGACAAATTAAGGAAACACTCCCATTTACCACTGAAACAAAAAGAATAAAATACCTGGGAATAAACCTACCTAAGGAGACAAAAGACCTGTATGCAGAAAACTATAAGACACTGACGGAAGAAATGAAAGATGATACAAACAGATGGAGGGATATACCATGTTCTTGGATTGGAAGAATCAACATTGTGAAAATGACTAAAGGACCCAAAGCAATCTACAGATTCAATGCAATCCCTATCAAACTACTAATGGCATTTTTCATAGAGCTAGAACAAAAAAATTTCACAATTTGTTTGGAAACACAAAAGACCCCAAATAGCCAAAGCAATTTTTTTTTTTTTTTGC